TGCAAGGTCAGGGAGGACGAGGAGCAGCTTGTGGCGCCGCATTGGCCCACTTGGACCTGGTTCCCTGAACTAATGCTCCTCGCGACAGCCCCTCCCTGGCAGATTTCTCTGAGGAAGAATCTACTGACTCAGAGATGGGGCACCCTGTGGTACCCGCGTCCAGACCTCTGGAAACTTCATGTCTGGTCCCTGGACAGGACACGGAAGTTCTAGGTGAGACCAGCACCATCACTTCGGTGAGAGCTCCGTCTACGAGACACGCTTATGCCTTGAAGTGGAACCTGTTCGTCAAGTGGTGCTCTTCTCACCGAGAAGACCCCCGGAGATGCCCAATCATGGTCGTGCTTTCCTTTTTTCAGCAAGGGTTGGAGCGAAGGCTGTCTCCCTCCACCCTTTAAGTCTATGTCGCAAAAAAAAGAAAAAGAAAAAACGATTGCTGCTAACCATTCTCTTTGTCTATTACGGAGGCCGGCAGAAGGGGAAGGCCGTCTCTAAGCCAGACATGGCGGAAAATCCGGCGCCAGGCCTTCACTCGATGAATACTTGAGAACCGGTAGAAGGCTGGGTTCCATATGTGAGACCTATGTGGATCCCATATGTGTAAAGGTCCACGGTATAGCCTCAGAGCCCGTGTTTCCCCGGCAGACTTCTGCCATTTCCAAGAGGGTTACAATCACCTCCAATTTTCCATATGCACCTAAACGGATGTTCATATATGTATTTGCTTCCGAAACCTCCTTCGGGAACGATGGGGCTTCCACAACGTTCCTGTTCCAAGGGGAACTGGTACGTTTTCCCAGTGTTATCCAATCTCACTGAGGGGGTAGTGCTATGACAACAGTGACTGGTCTTCTTGTTGCGAGCCCAGCACAGGACACTGGAAGGAGCAGCATCCATGGCGCTTTGGTAGGGATCCCAACTCATCGGTCACCGACATGACCCTGAAGGAGGGAACGGAGACGTCACGTCCCGTCGCCACGGCTGCTGTACCACTGCTGAGCGGCCGGGTCACCGGCTCGGCTCCTCAGCGAAAACCTGGTATGCATTGCACCGGCTGCCTTTTTATGCTCACGCTGTGATCAGCGGCCGCTGGATGCAATAATTGCATGCCAATGTGCATTGGCTCGTTTAGTTACACTCGAAGTAGATTGGTCTCTCGAAGCGAGATCCCAATTCGTCAGTCACCGACATGACGTCTCCGTTCCCTCCTTCAGGGCACGAGGGTTACATACGTAACCGAGACGTTCGTTATCGTCTCGTTGTCGTCGGTGACAAACATGTTGTTGACAAGAATTATGACGAAAATTATTTGTCAACTAAATTAACACTGCTAGGAACAGCCTTGGCTCCTAGTTCTTTTCACCTGTCTAAGTAATGGCCGGTGAGGGCAGGGAACCACTCTAGTGTAGTAGAGTCTTGGTCCTGCGCTGTTACTCGAGGAGGTAGAGGAACAGGAGCTGGTTTACTGCCAGGTCTCCAAGATTGGTAGATCAGATCCAGGTAACAGTGCATCCGGGCCACCTGGTTCAGCGTGAAGGAATCTGTGCAGTCATCATCTTTATGGGAACAAAACGAACAAAGACATTTCAGACGTTACACTCATTTTAAATTTCTTTCACAGATTTCCTGTCCAAATCAGCACAGACAATGCTAAAAGAGTCTGCAGAAGTCTTCTACGCAGCAGACATTTAGAGTTGATACTGTATACTGTATGTCTCACCAGCATAGCTCATGTAATTGTTGAAGGGGGTGTTTGTGAAATGACGTCTGCCGCAGGTGTCGTTGCCTGACTCAGGATCTCTGCAGTACTTGTACTTGGGTGTGGGATTTGTATCTACACACAGATCCCCCGTCTCAAGAGACGGCTCAGTCTCTAAGCAGGCATCGTTACAGGACTCCACCTCTGAGATTCCCCTGAAGACATGGTATAGTCCAAGGCTGTGGCCAATCTCATGGATCATGGTGTGAGTGTGGCCAAATGTACCATAAAATAAAGGGTTTAATACAATCCCACCTCAAAAAAGACAGAGCGAGAGTAGGTATTATAAACATCATAATTTTTGGTACCCATTTAATGTCTTTTTTCTGATGACAATGAAAGTTGATATGCAATGCTCTTCAAAACTATGCTGAACCAGTGATTGTTACCTGTATTGTAGTGATACATTTATGTATTTACCTAAATGTGTCAAAGCTTCTTTATCCCAGGGCCAAGTGCCCACACCAGCCACGTCTTCATCAGATGAGTTAGCAAAGAAGATGTTCAAGTGCGTGGATCCATCCAAATTCAAAACCTCTTTCAGCTCTTTCACGTTCATGTAAGCCCTATAGAACAAGAAAGACTTTTTAACACAGGAAATATTCAAAACAGACTGTTTTGAAAATCATATATACTGTAAACCGGACCTTACAATTGCACATAGAATCCTGTACAAAATCATTTTCAGACCAGTTGACTGAACTGTCGCTTGTCCTTTCGCGTTTTATGTTTCCGACCGTCTAACATTCACTTATCATGATTTTTTATGCCCATTTACAGTGTTTGTAATGCACCAGGTTTTCCTGTTTCTTTCATCAATTTTCACTGCTCCTCCACTGTTGAATCTTAAGCGCCATGACAAAAGAAATCATAGTTGTGAATGTGATGCAAAAAAATTTTTTCTGTTGAGCACCCAAATGCAAACAAGAAGTGACTAGTATTGGCTGATACGCTAACAAATGACACTTGTGACCACATCTTTAAAGTCATTTGTTGGGACACGCAACTTGTGTTTCTGAGTCACTAAAAAAATAACTTGCTCATAAAGATGCGGTCACATTTACCACCGTTCAGTAATTTATTTTGGTGGATGAAATCCAGTAGTTGCAATAGAACTTTACACAATCGGGAATTTCGCGTGAGGACGAAAGATATGCCCACACACTTTTCACAGACTTTTTACAGAATTGCTACATTAACCAACAGAAAGCTACTTGTTTTGAAATTAACTTCTGTATGAGCTGTGCTTTAATCTCTATACTATTGACAATATACAATCAGTGTTGGGGAGTAACTAGTTACATGTAACAGCGTTACGTAATTTAATTACAAAATAAATGTAACTGTAATCAGTTACAGTTACTAAGAAAACATGTGTAATTAAATTACAGTTACTTATGAAAATGTCAACGATTACAAAGGGGATTACATTTGAATATTTACACACATCCACATACAGATTTAATTGATTTCTTTCCCAAATTGCACTGACTACTCTGAGACATACGGCCCTATAATTTCCGCGATGCGGAAAATACAGACTGGTTCATAGTATCTGTAACCTATTACATTTCCAAAGTAACCTTCCCAACACTGTATACAATGGACCATTTTTGCCCACGATAATTTACCAAAATATCACCAAAATGTTTGTGGTTGCACGTTTATTAGCCAGCTCTTTAAATGGGCATTATATCTGAAACATAAATGAATTGGAATGGAATTGAGAGCTTGTGAGTCAGAATTGAATCAAATAAGGAAATCTATATCTATATGAATCACTGGATTTACAAATGGTACATTTTTTTACTCAGCTCTCTAAACATCTAAGAGTGAATATACCCTAGTGAAAAAAATATACTTAAATGTATTTGAAATACATTTATTCCATGCTAAGTATACTACAAATACATTTACATACATATATACTTAATCAAAATACCCTTTAATAATAGTATACTAAACTGGAACTTAAAGTCTGCTAAATTGGAACAACTAATTTTGTGCTTAATGCACTTCAATCTTGTGGAAGTAGTGCTGAAGTCCAACAAAAGATATACTGAAGTATATCTGATTGAGCTAAAGTGGAACTATTGCAAGTATACTTCAGGTACACGTTAAATATCTTGCATTTAAAGACCGATATCAAGACTATACAGTCCTCATCATTAGTGACAATAAAACACATTTTGGGCTTGATATTAAGAAATGTGCGTTGAACACAAGTAGTACTACAAATAAAGTTGAATTATAGTATTTATATCAGTAATTCTCAAGCGATATGTCAGTAAATATGTTAATAGACAATCTATATTTATTATGAAATAAACACATTTTAAATATATTACTTTTTTTAGGGTAATTACCAAATTTTGAGGTAATTTTTATTAATGAAATACATCAGTAAGGATTGATAGGAAAGTACAAACAGAAAGTACACAAAGAGCGTGTGTGAGTGTATAAATGTTTGTCAAGAGAAGCAGTGTTCTGTAATTTAACGGCTCTAGTGAGGCTGTCACACAGAGTTTGTATTTGGAAGGAAACCTGAGCCCCACTCTACAGTCAGCGCTGTGGTCAGAGGTCACTGGCCCTGTCTAGTTAGGAATGCATTGTGTCATTTGGATAGTTCCAAACACGGCCCCCTTAAAATGCTTATTATTTCACCTCAAACACACTGGGCATGTTATTCCCATGCAAGTCTTTCCCCTGCAGTGATAACTGTCATGCAAGTCAAACAAAGACAAGCCTCTCTGGAGTGATGAATGCTGGCTTGCTGGAAACATACATTTCCATAAGTACAACAGCATGTAACCATGCATATATTCATATTTGCGCAGACGTATAGGATTTCATATCGCCTCTCCGCTAACCTCCTCTGTCTTTACGGGAGGCCCTGCTTAATTCTCTCAAAACATTTCCCTTTTGAAAAATGCTGGAACAAAAATGAACACAAGCGGTGCTTAGTTCCTAACTCCAATGCTTTCAAATGTAGTAAACACCCACCTCCACTATTCATTGAGAAAAAAAAAACAGCCAGGTCTCATTCTTCATCTTAAGAGCAACATCTGTTAGCTAGTTCACCATGAGGGCCAATCAAACACGTTATCTGTTGTCATGCTGCTAAGCCCTGGGTTAGCTGAGACATTATGAAAATGTATGTATTACTTTGTAGTTGTTCTTGATGTATTACCTTCTAAGGAAGACGCGGGTTAAAGAGACAGGATGACCATTTCCTGGTATTTATTTTCTCGTAAGCCTTATACCGTGACACTACGTCTTGTAAAGTCATCACTCTCTGTCATAAAAGAGAAACACTAGAAGCCTCATGACAGTTCAAAAGAAGGAGAGTAAGTCTAGTAAACACACTTTTGCATTTCACTACTGGACTACATTTCCAATTATAAAGCATTGTGCTTATTGTACATCCCAACACCAATCAGGCAGTTATATTGTTTATATACTACTTTTTATACTAATTGAGATTTGTAATGTTTTTATAATGAATTCTCTTATGCTAATTAAGGCTGCATTTATTTGATCAGAAATGCAGTAAAACGGTAATATTGTAAAATTTTGATACAATTAAAAAAATGCTGGTGTCTTTTAATATTTTTTCAAATGTAATTTATGCCTCTGCTGGCAAAGCTGAATTTTCAGCAGCCATTACTCCAGTCTTCAGTGTCACGTGATCCTTCAGAAATCATTCTAATATTCTAATAATTGAAGATTAAAAACACAGGATTAAAAATTAAATCACAAGATTGAAGATTAAAAAAAACAAAAAAAACATTCTCATCATAGAAGTGGTGTATTCAAGTCAGTATATGTATGAAATGGATTTTTCAACAATGTATTTTACTTACATATTTTTGAATAAATTACTAGATCTGAAAAAAACATACAGTTTTAGTCATTTTATTGACCCATCTATCACTACTTTGTGTCTGAAAGCTAAAGAAAGGGACGTGATAATGTTGCACAAATATGAAAAAAAAAAACATGGCAGAGGGTGTGATGTTCTCTAGGCAGAACATTGATGATTAGTTGTGGTGGTGACGTTACAAGCCAACACAGCTGCCAATGAGATGCAGCACAGCATGGAAACATCTTGTGTCGTACAGACCTCAAATTACCTGCTTCATTCCACACATATTCAGAAAACAACTCATAACTGAATAGAGATTCTTACAAGCAACATTACTGTGAAGATCACAGTAAAGAAACATTCACTTTTTGACTTATAAGCATGCATCTTACTGGTTTTTCTTGACTCAGACTAGTGAAAATGCACCAAAGTAAACCTATATAGTGGAATACTTGAAATGACATCACCTTTTTATTAAAAAAAAAGTCAAGAATGGAAAATGAAAAGAAACTGTAGTATGCAGTATCAAAAGGCGGCAGAGGTTCGCTTGTGAAACCGTGGAAGCCAGCTCAGGGGACAAATCTAAGGAGAACAGATTATATAAGGTTTCCCTCCTAATAATTTCAGGAATTTCATTATTTACTATGAAAATATTTGGCTGGCTTTTTGGCTGTACAGGATCACCTTGAGGACCAATCAAACACGGTATCTGTTGTCATGCTGCTAAACCCTGGGTTAGCTGAGACATTATGAAAATGTATGTATTACTTTGTAGTTGTTCTTGATGTATTACCTTCTAAGGAAGACGCGGGTTAAAGAGACAGGATGACCATTTCCTGGTATTTATTTTCTCGTAAGCCTTATACCGTGACACTACGTCTTGTAAAGTCATCACTCTCTGTCATAAAAGAGAAACACTAGAAGCCTCATGACAGTTCAAAAGAAGGAGAGTAAGTCTAGTAAACACACTTTTGCATTTCACTACTGGACTACATTTCCAATTATAAAGCATTGTGCTTATTGTACATCCCAACACCAATCAGGCAGTTATATTGTTTATATACTACTTTTTATACTAATTGAGATTTGTAATGTTTTTATAATGAATTCTCTTATGCTAATTAAGGCTGCATTTATTTGATTAGAAATGCAGTAAAACGGTAATATTGTAAAATTTTGATACAATTAAAAAAATGCTGGTGTCTTTTAATATTTTTTCAAATGTAATTTATGCCTCTGCTGGCAAAGCTGAATTTTCAGCAGCCATTACTCCAGTCTTCAGTGTCACGTGATCCTTCAGAAATCATTCTAATATTCTAATAATTGAAGATTAAAAACACAGGATTAAAAATTAAATCACAAGATTGAAGATTAAAAAAAACAAAAAAAACATTCTCATCATAGAAGTGGTGTATTCAAGTCAGTATATGTATGAAATGGATTTTTCAACAATGTATTTTACTTACATATTTTTGAATAAATTACTAGATCTGAAAAAAACATACAGTTTTAGTCATTTTATTGACCCATCTATCACTACTTTGTGTCTGAAAGCTAAAGAAAGGGACGTGATAATGTTGCACAAATATGAAAAAAAAAAACATGGCAGAGGGTGTGATGTTCTCTAGGCAGAACATTGATGATTAGTTGTGGTGGTGACGCTACAAGCCAACACAGCTGCCAATGAGATGCAGCACAGCA